TAGAATCTTAGGTTAGTATTTTCTAGGGCAGAGTTTATTATGGTAGTTGGAAGATTTACTCCTTTGACTGTCAATCATTCACCTAAACCGAAAACCAAACCCGTTGGCTTCAAGTCAATTCCGACTCATAGCAACCCAATAGGACAAAGTAGAACTGCCCCATAGGTTTCCAAGGAGTGGCTGGTGGATTCAAACTGACTTTTCAGTTAACAGCTGTAGCTTTTAACCACTGTGCCACTACCTACTTAGTGCTTAAAAACAAGTCAAATCTCATGTAATTCAGCTGCTAGAGAATTGTTCTACTGACAATATACTGCACAAAAGAGTCCAGGTACAATTCTTAGAGAACCCCTCTGGTAACCAGACTTTACCTCTTTCTTTGTTTATCCAAAGTAGAGTAGCACGTGGCTAAGAAAGCTGTGTTAAAAGGTACTTGTGTTTGAGGAGCTAGAAACAGATCATTGCTAGTTAGCGTCCAGTCATCTTTAACTGTCATCAGTCACCACAGAAAGGCTCTGACTTTGCTGTAGGTGATTTCATTATTTATTATTATTCAGAATGATAATATGCCACACAAAAGAACACATTTAACAAAATTAGCTTTGTACAGTGAAGACCTTTTGCTTATGTTGAGGCTCAACCAAAAAATAGTACTAGTCTTTTGAGAGGCAACATGAGTGATCGTCAGTCATGTACTCCCACAGGCTTATTGATTCAAACATTACTGAACTTTGAAATTTTTTAAATATATAGTTTCAGTGTAGGGACAAAAACATGGGATTTTCAGGCAGACAGAACTGGTTTTGAACCCTAGCTCCAGACTTACTAGCTCTGTAATCTTGGGCAAGATAATTAACATTTCTGAGCTTTTGTTGCCTCATCTGCAAAATGGAGTTAATAATACCCACTTAGGATGTTGTTTGGAGTCTATGGTGGTGCAAAGGGTTAAAGGGCTCACATTCTAATAGAAAGGTTGGAGGTTTGAGTCCACCCAGAGGCACCTCCAAAGAAAGGCTTGATGATCTACTTCCAAAAAATCAGCCATTGAAAACCCTACGGTGCACAGTTGTACTCTAACACACGTGGGGTCGCCATGAGCTGAAATTGACTGACAGCAACTGGTTTGATTTCTTTGGTAGGATGTTGTTTTGAAGATTAAATTATTTTAACCAGTATTTATTGAACACTTACTATGTGCCAGGCTGTTTTCTCAGTGCTGTGGATAACACGTTTCACCCTCTTAGTGCCAGGATGGGTTTACCCTGTCAGAAATGAAATTGAATATTTCCTTCCTGGTTCTTAAGTCATTGAAGCCTGGGAGTGGATTGAAACTGGCTTTCAATCCTGAAGTGATCTTGTACCTATAGTTCTAAAATAATAAATCCTTTAGCGGCTGCAGATTTTGAGTTACAACTGAGCTGCTAAAGATTACTTAAGATTCAGCAGTATTATTCATACAGTTTTACCAGTTTTTTAGTTCATAAAACTTAGTTATCTACAGGCAACATTTATATTTCCAATAAATATTTTGTGATATATATATATGTATACATATATTTGTTAATATATGCTCTTTATGTTTACATTATAAATTTTTAGGGAGTATAGACATTATGTGGAGTCCCTGGCTAGCGCAAACACTTAACATGGTCGGCTGCTAACCAAAAGGTTGGAGGTTTGATTCCATCCAGAGGCACCTCAGAAGAAAGGTCTGGCGACCCACTTCCAAAAAATTAGCTATTGAAAACCCTATGAAGCACAGTTCTATTCTGACACACAAGGGGGCGCCATGAGTCAAAGTCAACTCAACAGCAACTGGCAGTTTATAGACACTCTTTAGTCCCTATAGAGAAAATCTCCTGAGATTTGCCGCTGGCCAAACTTGCACATGTACAGCTAGCCATAAAAAGATCTTTTGTCAGTGATTGTGTCTCCCTTTTAGGTGTGAAAATGCTATGGATGAAGTGATCTAGAAAGATACGACTTTTTCAAATGGATTTTTGCCTGGCGTCATCAAATCAGTGACAATCAGTGAATCAGCTAATGACCTGGATAACTAGAAATATATCAGTTGATGTGTATATATTGATATAAATTTCTAGAAAAATGGATGATTTTCTCCTCCGTTTGGAGCAACGAAGAGGCAGAATTTAGAAACTTTTTAATATTAATGAGTCAAAAATAATACCATCATCATTCTATAGTCTCCACAGGCCATCAGAGCCAGCATTATCTTCAGTCCAGGGGATTCTTCTTCTACATTAGGTTAGCCTTCTTGCAAGCTATATATGTGATTTTATTTGAATGCATCACTGTAAAACATTTGTTGACCTCTTAGGTGGTTGATGAAATACTAAGCCAATGTCATCTGAGGTGACTAGGTTATAATGAAAAACCAGTAGATGAGATCCTTAAAATGTATACTGTCTCTGTATTAGCACCCATGTACATTTTGCATAGTTCTCTTCAGAGATAATTATACTGTTTTAAAACAATAATAGGGAAGAAGAAATAGAAAGCTACCCAACTGTGGAATCACCCACCTGACATTCTTGGAATGCCATACTTTAAGTACTAATGTGTTGGTAATCAAAACAGTTATCTACAGTAGAACATTTGAAGCAGAGAACTCCCACTGTCTTAATATTTCTTACAAAATCGCATCTTTCTTTTTTTTTTTAAGAATATAAACAGTAAGTTGATCCAAAGATGTTCACCTGGATATGCTCAGGATGTCTTTTGCTTGCCAAGGACTACCTGCCACCTGGTCCCATTTTGCTAAAATACTTATTGCTGTTATTGTTGTTAGGCACTGTCGAGTTAGTTTTAACTCATGGTGACCCTCTATACAACAGTGTGAAACACTGCCCAGTCCTGCGCTATCCTTACAATTGTTGCCATGTGTCTTAGTCATCTAGTGCTGCTATAACAGAGATGCCACAAGTGGATGCCTTTAATGAAGAGAAATTTATTCTCTCATAGTTTAGTAGGTTAAAAGTCCAAATTCAGGGCATCAGCTGCAGGGGAAGGCTTTCTCTGTCGGCTCTGGAGGAAGGTCTGTGTCATCAATCTTCCATTGGTCTGGGAGCTTCTTTGTGCAGGAACCTCAGGTACAAAGGACGTGCTGTGCTCCCAGCACTACTGTCTTGGTGGTACGAGTTTCCCATGTGTCTCTGCTTGCTTCTCTCTTTTATATCTCAGAAGAGATTGGCTTAAGACATTATCCAGTCTTGTATACCTCATTAGTATAACTGCCGCTAATCCATCGTATTAGATAATAGTGATTGAACTTACAACACATAAGGAAATCACATCAGATTACAAAATGGTACACAATTATACAATACTGGGAATCATGACCTAGCCAAGTTGACAGATATTTTTGGGGGACACAATTCAATCCATGACACCATGTTTGAGACCATTATTGCAGTCACAGTATCAATCCATCTTGTTGAGGGTTTTCTTCTTTTTCACTGACCCTCTACTTTACCAAGGATAATGTCCTTCTCCAGGTACTGATCCCTCTTGATAACATATCCAAAGTACGTAAGACAAAGTCTCTCCATCCTCCCTTCTAAGAATCATTCTTTCTGTACTTCTTCCAAGACAGATTTGTTCATTCTTCTGGCAGTCCATGGTATATTCAATATACCTTGCCAACACCATAATTAAAAGGCAACTATTCTTCTTTTGCTTTCCTCACAACTGGACCAATAAACAACACCATGATAAATGAAGAAAAGATTGAAGTTGTCAAGGATTTTATTTTACTTAGATCCACAATCAACATCCATGGAAGCAGCATTCAAGAACTCAAACGACCCATTTCACTGGGCAAATCTGCTGCAAAAGACCTCTTTAAAGTGTTGAAAAGCAAACATGTCACCTTGAAGACTAAAGTGTACCTGACCCAAGCCATGGTGCTTCAATTGCCTCATATGCATGCAAAAACTTGACAATGAATAAGGAAGACTGAAGAATTGACGCCTTTGAATTGTGGTATTGGAGAAGAATATTGAATATACCATGGACTGCCAAAAGAACGAACAAATCTGACTTGAAAGAAGTACGACCAGAATGGTCCTTAGAAGCAAAGACAGCAAGACTACATCTCACATACTTTGGACATGTTATCAGGAGGGATCAGTCCCTGGAGAAGGACATCATGCTTGGTAAAGTAGAGGGTCTGCGAAAAAGAGGAAGACCCTCAACGAGATGGACTGACACGGTGACCGCAACAACGGGTTCAAGCACAAAAATGATTGTGAGGTTGGCGCAGGACTGGGCAGTGCTTAGTTCTGTTGTACATAGGGTCACTATGAATCAAAACCAACTCGATGGCACCTAACTACTACTACTTCTATAAAAAATAATTTAACATTTAGACTTTCACACAAAGACTTCTGCAAAAGAAATTCATCATGACATTTTTAATAAATGAAAATTTTAAAACATCACTACTTAATGTCCAAGAACAGGAAATAGTTAGATAAATTGTGGTGCAGTGATAAAGTGGAGTTTTGGGCAGCTATGGTCAGGGTTCTAAAATGCATATCAGAAATTCTCATGCTACAATGTTGTGATAAAAATCCAAAACAGAGTTACATGCACAATATGATCTTAACTATGTATAAATAATATGAACAGGAAGGAAAAAATAGAAAGACATATACCATAATGTTAATAGTGGTCAGTGTTAACAGTGGTCACCTCTGTTTCTTTCTTGCTTTCCAATTATTTTTCTATATTATCCAAATTTCCTGTAATGAGCATACATGAAAACCAAACAAAATTTCAAAAATGAAGATCCAGAAGAAAAATACCAATGGAGCAATTGATCCACTGTATGTTTCATGTTGGTTCTGCCTCTTTGGTGCAGGTTTCTGCTGCAGTGCTTTTCCTGGTAATTTACACTGTTAATTCTTCTAGTGAAGAAAAAAACACTACTGAGGGGCAATGATAAAAATCTGTGTCACCTGGTCTCTGTTCTTTTTCAGCACACAACGGTTTTGCCCTTTATATTAATCGAGATGAGGACATCGCACCATCAGTATCCCAGCAGGAGCAGCGGCCTCCTCGCCATATGTACCTTCTCTGTTGGCTATATATTATGGTAAGGACTCTTGCCTGCTGGGCTTTCATAGTGTATTAGATTTTGAACTGCTAAATTTGGGCACATATTTCATTATGGATATAATCACTAACAGATTCACACTGCGTGCCTCATTTGGTCCAAGACCTGGGCTTTGTCTCGTTTCCCCAGATGCTTATATTTTTAGAAAGTATATGCCAAACCTCACACAACAGGAATTTGTTGAACAATCCCATGTAAGCAGTGGTTCTTCCAACGCTACATTCAACCCTCTTTCAAGCTAAATGTTTTTCTTGGACACCCTTTTTATTGCTTAAGGGCTGTTTTGCTTGGGCTTGTTGTTGTTGTTGCTTTTCTTGGGGGTGGGGAGTTGTAGAAAACAAAATAAGGACAGAAAAATGACCTCTTACAGGAATGACTTTAAACTTTATATGAAACAAGTGAAAATGTACATTTTCCTAAATCAGTTCAAAGCCTATTCCAGCATTAGCTGTTACACAAAGAATATATTTAACTGGATTTTTGTTTTGGGGGTTTTGTTTTTTTGTTTGTTTTAATGTTGCAATAAATATGCCACAAGGAATCTACATTTGGTCCACTGGGTACTATAAAGTTCCAAGTGTGAGGTGCCAAGCTTATCTGATAAGAATTTTTGCCTGACGTGTTTACTTTACAGTAATTTTAGTTTGTACCATGTTTTAATTTTTTAAAAATTATCTGTGTTAAGATAGGGAATTTCTTGATTTCTCTCTATAATTCCAAGTCCTCTTGGATACATTAACACATACAGAAGAGGTCACTCCTGCCAGCATTTCTGCCTCTTGGGATTCTTTTGTCCTGAGTTCTGGGTCACCATCCCCTCCTTTAAGCCTGATGGATAATGCCCCAGAACTGTACTTAATCCTAGCCAAAATCCCAGAGCGTTTTGGGAGGCCTAATCTCTGTAGAGTGTTTTGCTCCTATCAGCCCAGAAATTTAAAAGGTCAGTACAGCACTTCACATACTTTGCATAAATGATCACACAGTGGCCCAGATCTTAGCAAGGAGAGAATTTGCTGCTAGAAATTCACACCCTGTGGCTGGATCTAAGGGAACACCCAGACTATGGACCCCAGAACAAACATGCAGTAAGGTGCACCTGTCTACCACTTAATCAACTAGTCATTGAATGGTTTTCTTAGTCACTTTCTAGATTTTTTTCCATCTGAAACCTTAAGTGTTGAATTTCTGTAATACAAAAGGTCCAAATGATCAGCGCTTAAGGTAAATAGTGACTATAGTCGTAAGTCTTTACAAAAATGAATTTATGTGATTTATACCTATCAACTTGATATTCAAATGGCTGTTATCTTTCAGAAGAGTCACGTAGTTAGGCTACACAGTTAGTTATCCCAGGGATGCTGCAATGTTTAGAACATATCTGGAACTGCCTATAGCATTAGTTTAAAAATCAAACACTCTTCACCACCACTTACCCCCTCCCCCGAAATATAGTCTCATTACTTTGCACTCATATTTGTTTACCTGTGGGAAGGGAAGTTCTTCACTCCAGAAACTCTGAGTATATTGCTGCAAATTCATTTATATGCCATTAAATTATCTGCACCGTGTAGAGCCCCAGAGGCTTTAGGAATTATATGCTTTCTGATGGACTTTCTTCCACTGTGGGTACAATCAACACTATGTTCCAAAGAAACACATGGGAAATACCACATATTCTTCATTATAGACCCCCAAGATCCCTCATTAAAATGAAGCTTACTCACACTCTTCAGCCAAATGAGTCTTGCCAGGTCTGCATATTCCCTCAGCAAACCAGTACTTGTTTGGACATGTATTTGCATTAACCAGTGAATTCTCTCAGATTTGTTCTGAGAAAGCTTTCAAAGTAGACTTTTTCCTTTGGTGTTCTGCCCTAGACATTCATAGTGCTGCCAAGAGTTAAACAGTGCCCTCACATCATGTCACATTATATAAATCCAAGGATTTTCATTGTTATCAAAAAAGATACTGGCTTTTGCTCCCCTCTTGACTACCTCAGGGCCTGCACACCAGTGACAGCAGTCGAAGGCTCAGGATATAAAATCTCTTGATAACATACTAGTGTTGTCACTGGACATTCCAGACCTCATTCCAGAATTTAAGAAAGCATGCCTCTTATCACTTGTTCATTATAAAATAAACAGATCTCCCTTATAATGCTGGGTTTGGTTGAGCTGAATTTATACCTCAGGGACTCCTGGCCAGGCTGTCTGTCTGCATAGCTCTGGCTCTAGCTTGCTTTCCAGTCTCACAAGTATCCCTCTCTGTCTGAATCTATTCTGTTCCTACCTCTGGATAGTGAGAGTTGAGAGAGCCCTGTCAAAGATGAAAATCTCAAACTCTGTTAGGAATGAAAGAAAAGGAGTTTTATTGAGGAATAATACAACTCAAGCTGGGCAGCACTAAGTAAAAATACAAAGCACTCCACTGTTCAGTCTGAGAGAAGGGTCCATGCACATAGAGAACAAAGGAAAGGTAGGGGGTTAACGAATGATGATAGATAAGATTAGCTTCAGCTTGAAGTCCTTTGAAATGTAAAGGTTGGCCACTTGGCTAGGAGAGAGTGAGTCACTACCTATGTGAGCGGTGTCAGCCAGTTCAGTTATACATGGTTGCAGTCATGGACACATTTTTTCCAGGAACAAATTGTTTACATCCTGACCTTTTGCTTCCTGGGAATGCAAGTTGGCCCTGTCATTCTTACGTCTGACACAAGTACCTCCAGTTTGGAACTTTTCCGTTTACAGCACTTTCCTCACAGGATGGAGCCCAGTGAGTTCCCACCCTCAGCCACCTCCATTTCCCAACCTCCACCTCACTTAATGGTTCCAGTCCTCCCCGAGTCTAGTATCTGAGGTCACCCTAGACTCCATACCTGCTTCTGCTCCCCACCTGCACTTCTCTCTCCACTTGCCCAGGTGTCTGGGACACAAACATCTTCCTGTCCATTTGTGGTTCTTCATTCCTTTCCTGCACACACACCCACATACACACACACCTTCACACCCATACATACTTCCTTGCACCTTATTTGCGAGATTTCTCTCTAATAAATGAAAGGACTCATATTATCTCACTCAGGATACAACACAGAGGTCCTCTAATGCAACAGTAATTATCAAGAATCATAATGACTACCACTTATTGAAGGTTTCTTTTTAAGCTAGACTCCACATTAAATGTGCTCAGCTGCTAACCAAAAGGTTGTCAGTTTGAGTCCACCTAGAGTCACCTTGGAAGAAAGGCCTGGCGCTCTACTTCCAAAAAATCAGCCATTGAAAACCCTGTGGAGCACAATTCTACTATAACACATGGGGTCACCATGAGTTGGAATGGACTCAACAGCAACTGGACTGGTTTTCTTTTGAGCCAGATATTGTTACAGAGTGCTTTACAAATATTACCTCATTTCATTCTCAAAACAACTCTTTAAGAAAGGCATTATCTTACCCATTTTCTGGATGAGAAAACTAAGGACTAGAGAGATTATATGACTTGCCAAGGAAATGCCACTAGATGGTTGCCAGAACAATACTGCAAGCCCAGGTGTGATGCTCAGAAGTCCATACTATTAACCACACCCTCCACTGCCTATTACTAGGTGAAGAGTACTTTGTGGGTAAACATATTCAGTGAGTTTTTGTTTTTGTTTGCTTTTGTTTTCATGAAGAAACACATCAGAAGCAGCCAAGCCTAGTGGTTAAGTCCACTTCCTGGGTATGAATTCTGGCTCCTCCACTTAACCTTTCCAGGCTTTAGCTTATTGAGATGTAAAATAGAAACAAGGATAGTGCTTACCTTCCAAGGTGGTTGTGAAGACTCAGTATGTAGAGCCCATAGACAATGTCTGACACATGGGAAATAGTTGCTGTATTTGATATTATCAGTTGTTAAAAAAGAAACAGAGTTTCTGTAAAATGAAGAGTTTTAGTCAGATTCAAAGATTTGCAAATACACAGGTGCCAAAATGAATGTTCAAAATAGTGTTCCAAAGAGGGAGCATAAACACATGTCCTTTATACAGGCATGCCTCGCAGATATTGCAGGTTCGGTTCTGGACCACCACAGTAAAGTGAATATCGCAATAAAGACAGCCATACGAAATTTTTGGTTTCCCAGTGCATATAAAAGTTATGTTTAGGAGACTTCCAACAAAGTGGTGCTCTAGGCAAAAGCACCACGCCGTCCCTCCACAGCAAAGATCCAGAAAACTAAGCCGAACAGAGAAAACAACAATCCTGAAACCTTAAAATATCAAATGAAGAGATAAAAAACTCAGCCAAGCACCAAATGGAGTGAGAAAACTGACGGAGAACGGAGAGCCAGGAGAGATTCATGCAGAGGTCACCTATCAGCTAATGCAGCACGGATCTGCCATCTTGGACTCCTATCAGAGACCAGCAAACGGGGTACAACAAAGCAGCTTCACAGAGCTTCCAGCGGGAGACAAAACAACTGGTAATTTGCAATATACGCTTTCCCACCCACCACCCTTCTTCACCCCCACTCGGCCTCCTCTGCTTCCCGCGGCCACAATCTCTTGTCCAGGAAGCACCGGCTGCTTGGATTCCACCCACCAGAACGGGCCGGCTTTCTAAGTGCCATTTGTTGGCTGCTGGTGTTGCTTTATTCCGCTTCTTTTGATTTCTTCCTTACCTCTCACCACCTCCCCTTCCTTTTGCTCAAATACCTGGCTCCATGCGCCATCTTTGCTTCTTCCTGAGGGGCTGTGGAGTTCCGTTCATGTATGGAACTGCTTCCCGGTCTGGGTTGCCACGCTGGTGGGATCCTGGGGCTTTTGTTCGTTTGTTTGTTTTGAATTGTTTGTTTGTTTTCTTTTCCTTTTCTTAAGTTGGGAGCCCGTTCTGGCCAGGCAGTGCTGCGTGGCTTGGAACATACCCCCTCAGCTTGCACACACATGCAGAGGGATCCCTGAGGGCATTTCTTTTTTCGTTTTCCTGTTTTTTGGGGGGCTTTTC